TCTGTCAGTATTCTGAGCTTGAATCATACTTTATTACTCACTGCTCCTCAGACATATCTAAGATATGGTAGAATGTTCTCCTTTGTTTTGGCCTATCTTATTGCCCACCCCTTCCCCCACCCCTTCTATAAAGCTTCTCCTGACTGACATAAATACTGTAAAATGTTAACGTTTTTGTGTATCATGTATATTTTTGCCCCTGGGATGCCTGGGGGCATAGAAGACAGTCAATATAGAAGAAGGCAGTCAATATAAATGAATACATTTATTTTTATTGAGCCTACTAGAATGTTAAACTCCTTGTCTCCTGGTCCTATCAGTTACTCTTCTTGTATTTTCTATAGTGTTTATTTAGCATTGTGCCATGCTTTTATAAAAAGACCCCAAAGTATTGGTAAAATTAATTAGGCAAATAATTTAATCTCAATGTATTATTCTTTATGGCATCATTAAAAGGCATATTGATAATCATTCCATTTGCAGAAATTAATACATTTTCTGGTGATCTGGTATGAGGGTAATATTCTCATAGAATTAGTTAGGGGGTGCTCCCCCCTCTTCTACTTTTTTAGATAATAAATTAATTGGCATTTATTATAATTAGCTGGTATTCTTTAAATTTTTGGTAAAATTCACTAGTGAAGCTATTTGGTCCTGGGATTTGCTCCATGGGTAGGTTTTTTTCTTTAATAATTCAGTCTCTTTGGTAGAGATCTGTTTAGATTTTCTATTTCTTCATGAGTCAGTTTCATTATCTAAAAATATTTCCTAATTTTCCTTGTGATGCATTTTTATTAAAGAAACTTGTTTTCAAACTAAAGTATGCCATTTAAAATGCTGGACTAAAATATACCAATTATTGCAAACTATGCATCGATCATATTTCTACTTTAATTTTTTTGAGTGACTTTTATTTTATTGTGCAAACATCCCACTGGAAATATATGGCAAAAATAATTACCTTCTTTTGGCATTTAGTTAACTTCTCTAACTTTCCATTTTGGCATTTGGTTTAGAATAATGTAAAATTTCTAATAATTCTCTAATGCAGGGGCTCAGCAAACTTTCTGTAAAAGGCCAGGCTGTAAATATTTTAGGCTGTATGGGCCACATATGGTCTCATCACTGCTGCTGCCTTTTTTTTTCTTCTTTAACAATACACTACAAATGTAAAAAGCATTCTTAGATTGCAAGTTGTCCACACAATACATGTCCTGGATTTGGCCAACTTAGCATCTAGAGAGTAAATCACTCTCATTAAGGACAAATATAAGGGAAATAACTGATTATTCGAGCCAACTTGAACTCCTAAATTTCATTTTCAGAGTTTCATGTGCATAAGCTCTCACCTCAGAAGGCATTTCATAAGCCTCGTTGTCAGGCTCCGTGGGCACGTCTTCCAGAACTCCCTCCTGGGCGGCTCCTTCTTCACTCTGGTATTTAAATGAAAAACACACAGACTGTGAGGAGGGAGCATTCACTTTTTAAAATCACAATCATATTTTGAAAAGATCTTACATAGAGTACTGGCAAGAATGGCACTCGGTATCCCTGCATTCTACACTATACAGTGCCTTCGATAAAACATTGAGGTAACATGTTATTAACCCAAAGAATGCTCAATTTTTTTGCCCAGGTAATTCACTGTTCGAAAATAGTCCAAAGGTGTTTTTCATAGGATCAATGATAGCAGTAAAAACCTGTTAACTTAGGTGTTCAATTGATGAAGAGTTAGAATTATCATTCAAATGTTCAATAGATTATTATGAAAACATGTATTACTATGACAAAAATTTTATTATAGAATAAGAATTTCTTTATGGTATAATGTTTAGCAGCATATAAATATTGTACATATTGTGGACCCAACCTAAGTAGAATTCAGATACAAGGGTAAAATAGATTGGAGGAGGGTACAACAAAGCATTAAAAGTACTTTTTGTTGGGCAGTAATGCCATGTTCTTTTTACCATTTTGTAAGTTTTAAAGATACCATTTATAAGGTAAAATCACACATATTTTATAATTTATTTTTAATGATGGCAAAGGAACACATCTTTTTTCCTGAGGTTTCAAGATTGAAATCATATATATTTGGAGGAAGAAAAATCAAAGTATTTGGTCAATTTTCCAAGTATCTCTCCTTAGAAATCAGATACCACAAATTCAACCTGAAATGGTCATGGTCTTATTAGTATTCTTCATTAAATACTTTTTTGGAGTAAATACTTTTTGTTGCTTTGTATTTATTCTAGAAAAGGAATTGAAATCTGAAAGAGCAGAGAGGCAACATGAGATTATATAGACTTACTCAAAGAGATCAAACAGTCCCCCAAGGTGGCTTACGTTTGAAACTCTGCCTCATGTAACTATCATCTCCCCATGTCTTCATCATGAAAATGACAGACAGGTAGGCAGAGGGATAAGGAAATGGTTGACTGTGAGAAAAAGTCAAACTAAAGCCCATCCATGCTCACATTAGGTAGGCAGAGAAGCTTACAGACCATACTCCTCTGCCCAACTCCTATTTTAAAAATTTATAAAAGTCCAAGTTATTTATAAATGAAATAAGATATAAAGCATCCCTCAAATACCTCACTTCTAAATGTGGAGTAAACATACTGTTTTCAGTGTTTCACCTTTTGGTACAAATCAAGAATACAGGTTCTGTATTGTGATTGGTGGTTAGACACAAGGGCTGTAGTATCACAAGACTTGCTTTCAAATCCTACCTTCCATAGATTCCAGATCTCTTGTGATGTTGGACAAGTTTCTTAAGCTTTCTCTAAGCATCAAATAGCCTTAGTGATAAAATGGGGCAGCAATACCTTTTTCTAATTGAGAGGAGCCAATGACATCATTAATCCCCTCTTAGTATTTAGATAACTTCTAGTGATAGTCAAGTATAGGAAAATAAGGTAAATTTCCTGTCTTATTAAGTTTTTAGTAGTTTTTTTTCTAACCTTATTTGTTAAGATTTTGATACAGATTGGACAAGTAAATATGGCAGAACTGACGTGCTTTCTGACCATCACAAATAAGCTGCAAACTATACAACTAAAATTGGTGAATGTTATTGGATGTGTGTGTGTATTGGGGTGTGTCTGTTGCATCCTTCAAAGTTTATCCAAATAATGGTGAATGTTGCTGGTGAATTGCTGGCTAGATTTCATTTGATCCCAATATGTGATCAATCTATCCCTGTTAACAGATATACTTAAGTGGCAAGTGTATAATAACTGCTTATCTTTAAAAATACAAGCATTTCTGAGCATGTATTTACCTAATCCTTTTAAAATTGCACTGAGAATGTCTATAGTTTATAAAGTAAATATGTATCACTTGTGGGCAAGGGTTTGAAAAATCATAGGAGAAATGCTTATACAATATTTAAAAAGAGGTCAAATAAGTGATGAGACAGAAAGTCAGCTATAAGAATGAAAACACACAGAAAATGGGAAAAAAAATAGGGAGAAAAGAAATATAAATCCCAGGATGTTCAATTAGTGTTAACATGTCACAAGAAGAGGCTTATATTTTCAGAAGCCTTTACTTACTAAAAGAATAAATACATGGTGCTTTCACAAGTCTGACTGCTAGACTTTATGTGTTGTTCTCTGGAGAAGGAAATTGATTTCATTTAAATACATTAATATTAATAAACTGTCATTAAGATCTTTAACTGTGTTACATTACATGAAGTGGAAATAGCTCATAGATCCCTCAAGAGGCAGACTATCCTCAGCCACATCTTCCTAAGGAAATTTGATTTTAGAGAGGTTTAGAAATTTACTCAAAGTAACAGAGATGACTTCAGACTCTGCGCTCTTAACCACTGCCCTGAGTTTCTTCCCCAAAAGAATTTTGGCATTCAAAATGTTTTAATTATCAATAGATTTTGGAAACTGAGAAACAGGACATCCTATCATGTCCCTGACTATACCTTGCCTATTCTTTTAGCACCTAGTTCAGGGTCTATTCCTGGTAAACAAAATTATCTCATAATTTCATTGCTGAAACCCATCAAAGAAGTCCCTTCACAAACATTGTATGCTCTATGGGGCCATTATATTTTTATACTATAAAAGTTTACCCAGAAGGAAAAACAAACAAAAAGTATTAGTCAAAGAACAGGTGAGAATTAGTTTTTGTTTTTCAAAACTCTGGTAGTGTGTGTGGGGGGAAAAATCACCCTGAGGGTATGTCAGGAGAAACTACTGAAAGGCAAGGAAATAGTGGGGATGAAGTTGCAGTATACAGGATGAGTACTTGAAATCCCTTAAGAACAGAAATTCAAGTCCTTAAAATCCTTTAAGAATAGGAATTCGATTTCCTATTTTCTATCCAGTCTTGTGCTGCAATATAATTTCACCATCTTACCATAGCCTTCACATGTAGCCTGTTGACCCTAAATATTCACTGAAGTGCTATAGAGTGGTCAGAATGGATGCTGCAGTATGAGGAAAGCACAGCATAGGTAGGAGGAGATGGATTATATAGTGGAAGCAAGTAATCAGAACCAGAGTTGACCAGGAGAAATGTCATCACAGGAAAACCATCAAACATGTATCTTACCTTTCCTGTACAAACTATACATTAGTGTAAACAAATAGTTGATGAGTACAAGTTTTCATTATGGATGTAATCTTTCCTTCCAAGAAAGGAATGATAGAACTAGAATATCACCTTTTTACAAGGAAATCTAGGCAATGATTACCAATGGCTGCCAAGGGGACATAGAGAGATATAACCACACATCATGTGCCCTGATGGCACTACATATCACCACCTATAAAGTATCCTTGACAAACATTAGAATTTGGTTGGTATCTAACTATCACTGGATCCGACAATTTACAGCAAATATAAGGGAATGAAGAACAAGTTCACATCACTGGATGCAATCAGCAAATTCTGGACTGTGGGAAACAATACAGAACCAATAACAACTACTTCAGCAAGTAAATTACAAGGAAAACAAAGTTTTGGGACACCTATAAAGTGGACTTGAGAGAGTATCAGAAAGATTACAGCTCAAGAATCTTATTTCATTCTTATTTTGAATTCTGATTTAAGAAAATGAGAAATATGAGAGAGTTGGTGGAATTTAAACACTAACTTGGTATTTAATTAAACAGCCATTGTTTATTCTTAAAATATGATATGTTGGAGTTTCATTTAAAGTCCTAAATTTTAAAAAATAATCAAATATTTTCAGATGAAATAACATACCTAGGTATTTTCTTTGAAATTATCCAGGGTTGGGTGGAGAGAAATGAGTAGGCTGTAGAAGAAACAGGAGTCTACGTGGTGGTGATTGGTTGCATTCGATGGGGAGCAGAATATGCACCCAAAAATGTGACACTGGCAGGTGTATTATTTGGAACTGAAGGCAATCAAGACCCAGCAGACTCAGGAAGAGCTTTTTACTTCCTCCATAACTGCCTCAAAGAATGTAGATTAGGAGGCCTGTACCAGAAAGAGAATTTTACCAGAAATAACTTTTTTTTTTTTTAAATCTGAAAGACTTATCTGCGCGGGAGGGCAAACATCTGATTACCAAACATCTGCTCTTCTCATTTTCCTGTGAATTGCCCTCCCCTCCTCTGACGCTCTAGGCTCCCATCATACCTTAGCTCGGGGGAGCATGTAAGCCTCACCTGACTGACTGCCTCTGAGTCCCGTATTTTTGTGGGACTCCCATACGTATGGACTTAAATTTCTTTTTCTTTTGTTAATCTGCCTTATGTCAATTTAGATACAGACCAGGCAAAGAACCTATAAGGAATGAAGGGAAAATTCTGCCCACCTTCCCAACAGTTTGGTACCCAGTGCGGGGCTCTCCTTTGGACATTGCTTGTTCTGGGGCTGCTGCGGCTGAGAGATCCTGGAACCTCTGGTAGAACGTAAGACATCAGTTACATCTCCTGGATCTCTGCCTGTAGTGAAAGTGAGGGTGGTGAGAGTCCTTTTCCTTTCTCTGGATTTAGATTAGCAGGAGAAAATACTTGTGTGACTCAGTTCTTTTCGTATAGTGACTCTGGTAAAGATATATTAGAATTCTTATTTTCTGTTGATTCCTAGAAATGGTCTTTGTTTTCTTTTGTCTTTTGTGTTGTTTTGTCATAAGGAGGAAAATCACAGGACTGAATACTGGCAGAGGTCCTACAAGCTTGTTGTTTGAGCTGGCCTTACAGACTTGTGAGTTCAGGTTTCTCACCAGACTGGCATCTCTTTAGACAAGTTTGCTATGTTTCCCCTATATTATAAAAGCACGCACACAACAATAACAGATACGCTTTTTGCCTTGTTCAGCCCCATCTGCCTATTTTAACTTCCCTTTTCTGTTAAGATTTACAGAGAACACTCTTTCCTGATCACCAGCCCAGGGCATAAAGATGACTTGTGTAAATTGTGAAAGCCAGGGAGTGAA